GTCCTGTTGCCATTTTTCCATCATAGACTCTGAGACTTGTCCAGGATCAGTGAACATGTTGATTTTATTAATAGAGTTAGTATTAAGATCTCCAACAACAAGATGGAAGACCCCTTCCATTCCATGCTCTGTCATCATACTTTCAAGGCGGATAAGAGCGGCTAGCACATGAGACCCAGAATCATTGGACTCAGTCAGAGTGAAAAATAGTAGACGGTGAGTCCTTCAGTCCTTTCTTGACTGCCAATTCGTAGCTGGAGTGTGGTGTGATGTTTCGGATGGTCGTCACCATGGACACCACTGAGGCATAGGGTGCTTTGAAGTTCCTTTCCCAGTCCATCTGAGCAGGATCCTGTCCAGGCTCCAGTGGTGTGGTTAATACCTCCAAGCGCCGAGGGGCTTCTCTGTAAGCTTGGTCTTCTTTTTGGTTTTCCAATGTGTGGAGGAGCTCCTGGAATCTGACTGCGGTAATGGTGCTGCAGTCATGTTTGGAGGATCAGATGTGGGATGATGATCAGATTCAAAGAAGGCTTGTCTGAAGCCTTGTGACTGAACAAGGGATTGCTGCGTGCTGGCGCTGCTGTTTTGAAGATGAAGAATGCTGGGCAGAGAAGCGTCGACCAGGTCCATCAAGTGAGATACAACAAAAGAGTAGCACATGGGCTATGGCAATTGGCAAGCAGCGGGCAACAACAGGAGGAGCTGCACAAGAGGATGTGCGACAAGGTAGCGCAGTGGTATCTCTCAACGAGTCAATCGAGTTGAGATTTATGATCCTTCGAACAGCTCGAAGAACTGATGGATTAAGACCCATTCGCAACTGGTTGTATCTTCAAATGAACAACTGCAAGTAAATACGTGAATCAGTTCAACGACCAACTGCAAGCCATTTGACTGCAAGCAAGAGGACGTTGGCATCGCGAGCGATCAAGAGGACGTCGGCATCGTGAGCGATCGAAGGTGGCTCCGTAGTAGGATCCGTACGAAAGGTCGAGTATAAATTTAACGACCGACTGCGGACGCAAGCCCGTTCAAACGACCACTGCAAGCCAGTTAACTGCAAGCAGTCTTCCTCGTTCGAACGACCAATTCCAGTCCGCGGTAATAGACGAAAGAGTCTACGGAGCAATCGATCGCTCCTGTTGTTGTTGTTGTTGTTTTGTGGCTTCCTTTAATCGAAAAGTGAGGATGCAGAAGCACGAGTCAGTTTTGAACCCATAATAGAGGCAACCGCGCTTCGAATGCATGACTTGAAAGCATGACACAAAGCCGAGCCTTTTATTGCAGACGGAGCTCACTTTTTGTCATCGATTTTTTTAACATCGCGAGCGATCGATGGCTCCGTGTTGATGGGATCCCCTTGACGATCGGCCAAGGCTTTGCCGGTGATAGAGATAACAGTAGTAGCAGTAGAAGCGATAGTAGTAGTAGCAGTAACAGAAGCAGTACCAGTAGTGGTACCTGCGTCGATTGAGAGAAAGGTGGACTCCCATAGGAGTCCATTGTTTAAAATAAGGTCCTCATCGCGATTTTGATCAACGACAGGATGAAAGGTGGACTCCTGTAGGAGTCCATGGTTGCGATTGCTTACGAGCGAATCAACAACAACAATGTTGGCAAGGGGATTGCTTGCGAGCGAATCCAAGGGAATTAAGTTGCAATAAGGGGAAGGACTACCGATGAAGATAATGAGAGGAAACTCAGGACTCTGCATCAAGGGATAGCTCATTCCATTGACAACCATAAGGGATAGACATATAAGAATAAGAATGAGTAACATCTCATAACCTCGCATGCTACCATGCGACAATACCATTGTGTACTGATTAATCTAACGATCTAAGAGATGTAAAGTTTGTATTTCCAAATAAGTGAGCAGTTATTGATTATTTTCTAGAATAAGCCTGCTAATTGTAAAGCTGTAAAGCTGAATTGTAAGCTGTATCCCGTCGCAATTACGGAGAAAGCAATAGACGATGCCGCGGAAGAAGCACAGCTCCAGTTGTGGCTGTGCATGCTCGCGGTCAGCAACGTCCATCAAGTCGCCATCTGGACGGCGGAATTCAGTCAGCACTGGATGTCGTGGCTCGTGTATGCGATCGTGTTCGCGAGCCCAATGCAAGTCCTGGTGTACTCAGGCGTGATCATCCTCGTGGGGTTGATTGACTTAGTGACATTCGTCACAGCATCCTCGGAACTTGGCTCGGCAATGATTACGTTCTACGCAATCTGTTGGAATCTCTTCCAGTGGGCATCAGAAGAGGATAGGGCGCCTGCGTATGTCCCAAAGAGGCTTCGCGGAACCAAGCCGTACCAACGTTGGGTGCTCATCAGAGCAAGTGCAGCTGCTGCAGCAGTCAGACGAGGAGCACAAGCCATCAAGTCCGTCATAGCGGATATCGTGCAATCACACGAAAGGACCGTGCAAGAGACGGTGAGATCGATCCCCAACGGTGATCGTTGGGACGATGAAGATGGTCCGTACACGACGGCCGCGAACAAGCACGCGAAGGGGAGCGCTCCATCCATGTTGTGGGATATCGACAAGACCAACCAACATCACGGACCGACAACGTTCCAGCTGTTCATGAGGTTTCTTCACGCACTCAAAGGTGGAGCTGGTCTGGGATGGAGCGAAGGAAGCCCAATAGTGGCGATGCAATTGGTTCTCCTATCTCTGAGCGGCTCATTCAACAATGGCTCCAGAGATCACTCTTATGACACGGACTCAGTTCTCATTGCCATCGACAACTGCTCATCGAGGTGCATTACCAACTGCATGCAGGACTTCATCGACACCCCAAAGAAGGTAAATGTGTCCGTGCAGGGAATAGGAGGCACAGTCATGGCCACGTACAAGGGAACTATCAGATGGGCGATCGAAGATCAGAGCGGGAGAGTGCATCATTTCCTCATCCCGGACACCTATTTCAATGCAGCCACGCCCTATCGGCTACTGTCCCCACAGCACTGGGCGGCCGTGGCAAATGACAATTCACCAAACAAAAGAGGAACTTGGTGTGCCACGTATCAGGACGCCGTGGAGCTGTTCTGGGACCAAAGGCAGTTCACGAGGGTCATCCCACTGTCTCCGAGGAACAATATTGCAATAGTCAGAAGTGCCCCTTCATTTGCGAAGCTCCATGCCTTTTGTGCAGAAGTAGCGCAAGAGAGCGGGCAGCAGCCAATTGATGAGTCGGAGCTATTTGCCATGCCCGCGGCGGCAGTGTCTGACGACGACAGCTCAGTCAGTACCGAAGACAGCGACCGCAGTGATGATGAGGAACCAATCAGCAGGCTGCATCCGGATCTCCCTGATGACGTGATACGACAACGGGAACGCAGCAAGGATTTCCAGCAGAGCGTGACCGAGGAATTCAGAATGCGGAAGGATCTCGCAAAGATCAGTCAAGTCCCAGTTGTGGACCATGACTACACCGAGTATGTGTCCCCAAGGGCGGATATCCTTGCGTGGCACTATCGACTCGGCCACATCTCATTCGAGAAGATTAGGAAGTTGGCAGAAAGAGGGTCGCTTCCAGGCCATCTCGCCAAAGCAAGGGCGCCTCAGTGTTCGAGCTGCATGTTTGGAAAAGCCACGAGAAGACCGTGGAGAACTCGGACACCACCCAACAAGATTCAGGTTCCCAATGCTATGGGCGCAGGAGCGGTGGTTGGAGTGGATCAGCTCATCTCCTCGACGCCAGGGCTCGTCGGGCAGATGAGAGGCATTCTCACGAAAAAGAGGTACACAGTCAGCACCGTGTTTGTCGATCACTACAGTGGGCTGTCGTATGTCCATTTCCAGATGTCAACTTCAGCAGAAGAGACAATCATCGCAAAGAAAGCCTTCGAGAGATATGCCAGCACTTTCGGAGTCAAGATTCGGCACTACCATGGAGACAATGGAGTGTTCGACAGCAAGGCCTTCATTGGAGAGGTCCACAGATGCGGGCAAACGATGACGTATGCCGCAGTCAATGCTCACCACATGAATGGGCATGCAGAAAAGAAGATCAGGGATCTCCAGGAAGCTGCTCGCACCATGATACTGCACGCCAAGCAAAGGTGGCCGAACGCAGTCCCGGCGAACCTGTGGCCATTTGCGGTAAGGTACGCGAATGACATGGCAAATTCTGCTCCGGTTCTGAGCAAGGACGATCATGCGTCGCCAATTGAGCTGTTCTCTGGAGTCGAGGTTGCTCCCAAGGTCAAGAACACGCACACCTTTGGCTCCCAAGTGTACGTGCTAGACGCGAGGATCCAGCAAGGAAGAAGATTGTCGAAGTGGGAGCACAAGGCGAGGATAGGAATGTACCTTGGAATGTCTCCACGGCATTCGAGAAAGGTGGCATTGGTCCTGAGTCTACAAACAGGAAGGGTCTCTCCCCAGTTCCATTGCCAGTTTGATGATCTGTGCGACACGCTCAAACCATCGTCTGGAAACGCTATGCCACCATCGAAATGGCAAGGCAAGGCCGGTTTCGTTGCCGGAGATGCCGTCGATCGATCCCCATCGTCAAGTCAACAAGAAGTGAGTTCCGAATCGCGACCGAGCTCGCTCGCGACTGGAACGGACGGCAGTCCCGAAATCGATGATGGGGGACTCACGGAACAACAAGGAAATCTTCCGAGTTCCGATGACAACAATGACGGAAGATCAGCTTCCACGCCGCCGCAAGTCCAAGAAAATGAGGAGGACGTAGAACGAGTGCAGGAAGCACCGGTGGAACCGACAAGGACAAGGACGGGCAGAGTGGTCAGGGCTCCGAACAGGCTCATCCAAGAAATCGAATCCTACGCAGCGATTCCTTGGGACGTCTTCCATGAGCACGGTTACGACGTGCAAGAAGAGATGGATGATCCGATAGCGTTCGCCGCCTCGTCAAACCCAGACATCATGTACATTGATGGTGCCATGGCCGCTCACGACGCCAAACAATTTCGCGAAGCCATGGTGAAGGAAGTGGAATCCCACGAGACCATGAAGCACTGGACGATCGTGGAAAGAGAGACAATTCCAGACGGCACGCGGCTTCTGCCAGCAGTCTGGGCCTTCAGAAGGAAGAGAAGAATAGCCACGCAGGAGATCTACAAATGGAAGGGACGTCTCAACGTCCATGGAGGAAAACAGACGAAGTTCGTCAACTACTGGGAGACATACTCTCCTGTGGTCGGTTGGGCCACCATCAGGACGTTCTTGGTGCTCATGTTGATCAACAAATGGAAATCCAGGCAAGTCGACTTCGTGCTTGCATTTCCTCAAGCCGACATCGAATGTGACATGTACATGGAGATCCCGCAAGGGTTCAGCGTTGTCAAGAAGAACGGAAGGAACGGACTGAAACAGACCAGTGACAAACGTCGCTACAAGGGCAATCACTGTCTGCTATTGCAGAAGAACCTGTACGGTCAAAAGCAAGCAGGACGTGTCTGGAACCAGTACATGCACGACGGTCTGCTTGCTCGGGGATTCACCCAGAGCACAGTGGACATGTGCGTCTATTACAAAGGGAGTGTCGTTCTGCTCATCTACGTTGATGATGGGATATTCATTGCTCCCACCGATAAGGAAATCGATGACGCCTACAATTCACTGTCTAAGCCCGTGACGAACAGCCAAGGGAAGACATTCCGCGCATTCAACATGACAAACGAAGGAACGCTCTCGGACTACTTAGGAGTAAAAATCGAACCACTCCCAAATGGAACGATCAAGCTATCACAACCACACCTCATCAACCAAATCCTGGAGGATCTGGGTTTCGACGAAAACACAAAGTCACAGCCAACACCCGCCGCAGCAACAGTCAAGCTCCACAGGGACATCAATGGCAAAGACTTCGACGAAGAATGGCACTATAGAAGTGTGATTGGGAAACTGAATTTTCTAGAGAAGTCAACAAGGATTGACCTCGCTTATTCAGTGCACCAGTGTGCGCGGTTCTCCGTGGAACCAAAGGAGTCTCATGCCGCCGCGGTCAAGAGGATCGGAAGATATTTGGTGAAGACAAGGGACAAGGGCATCATTCTCTGCCCCAAGTCGTGTTCATTTGATGTATTCGTTGACACTGATTTTGTCGGCAACTGGAATCGTGCCACAGCAGACGTTGATCCAGGCACGGCTCGATCGCGAACAGGTTTTGTCGTGATGTATGGAGGATGTCCAGTCGTTTGGGCATCGAAGTTGCAGAGAGAAGTGGCGCTATCAACGACAGAGGCAGAGTACAATGCCTTGTCTGAGTCGTTGCGAGATACAATCAGCCTGATGCAACTGATAGAGGAAACGAAAGGCAGGCTGCGGTGGAGAACACACAACAAGCCACCGGTTGTGCATTGCAAGGTCTTTGAAGACAACGTTGGGGCTCTCGAGATGGCAGAGCTGCCGAAGATGCGTCCAAGGACCAAGCACATCTGCGTCAAGGTCCATCATTTCAGGGACCATGTACGCAACGGAAAGATTACAATCCACAAGGTGCCAAGTAGGTACCAGTTGGCTGATACAGCCACGAAGCCACAACCCACACTACTGTTTGAATCTCAACGAGAGAGTATTATGCAGTGGGATGCAGAGACAATGACGATGCAGGAGCTCCAGCAGCCAGCAAGGCATCTGAGGGCGTGTGAGATTGTGAGGGATCATGATATCCTCAACAACCTGAACAGTCAGCATGCTTCCAACCCTGCCAGTAGCCCTGCATCCTCAACTGCAGTTGTTTGAAATATGTACAAGCAACTGCAGAAATATCAACAGGCAACAGTTGAGTTTTAGATAGGTAGATAAGGAGTTTATAGCACAATGTAGCAAAAACCCTCAGATCTTGGATTTCCTACGTTTCTCTACCACACTCGCAACTCTCATCAAGCAGCAAGTGGAAGCTGTTGGCCACTGGAAGTGAAGTACATGTACCTGTAAATCAATGACGACGGTGACCCTTGAGCTCCCTTGACGCTGCCGTCAGTCTAGTGACTCTAGTCGTTGATGCCGACACCAAACCGGCAGCTCCAGAGAACCATGCAATAAAGGGCAGGAGCTGAACTGGGGAAAATGACCCACCAATAAATAAAAGTGTGAATAATTTTGCGCTCTGAAAAAGGACGTTATTCGTCTCGTTTTGGAATCTCTTCAGCAATAGACAGGACAGGAGAAAAGATGCTTTCAAATACTCTGTTGCGTAACACGGTTTGAAAGCTGCTCTGTGCCAAAAGATCAAGGATCTCTTTGTCAAGCTTTTCCAGAGCGGACCGGTTCACCACATCGTTGCTTTCATGCCCCTCCAACCACCAAGTCTTCATATCTCCTTTGCCTTTCATGCTTACTAAACCCCTTTCTTTCAGGACAAAAGAACCCTTGCAATGGGACTCTAGTAGCGCTCGTGTGGTGCTGGAACATTGCACCTTTCCGGGCTCCCCTGTGCTCTCATGGCGTGCAGTTGTGTTGACTATCCGTATATATAGAAGGAGCCCATAGGCGTACCGGTAACAGCAGTGTGAGCACGACAAGAAGTGCAGCAGAGTCGAAGAACCAGGATCCCGGGATCATGGCATATGCCTACCTGTGTCACCAAACACGCAATACTGAGGCCGTTTCGTCCCAACTACCCCTGAGGCGCATGACCCACTGTGGATTCCTATCCGTAGCTGCAATGGAGATCCATCGACTGGCGACACGACATGCCGGCAACAATGGTTGACAGCAATGGCAAAGTGGGCAACTTTCATGAAATGCTGTTCATCCTCCTGGGGGAGCCCACAGGAGCAGACATAGGCATCCCCGATAGTTTCGATCTTAAAGATGCCGTATCGTTCTCCCAGAAAGTCCATGACGCAATACAGTCGATTCAGCATCTCAATCACTTGCCAAGGGTAGAGTCGATGGCACATGTTTGTGAAATTCACAATGTCACTGAAGAACAGTGTAACATTCTTGTGCAACCTCGGCTCCACGGTTTTGCCTTGCCGAAGGCCTTCTGCGGCATGAGCAGGCAACATGGATTCCAGCAGCGTTTTCTCCTGCTCCAATGAATGGCTGAGTTGTTCCATCTTGGCGGCACTATTAATTTGCGAGCTCAAGTGCTCTCGGAGAAGGATCGATTCTCTATGAGCCCCGTGCAGCGGTAGATCACTAAAGGTCATCTTCATCTCACGAAGCTCCTGCAAATTGTTTGCGTCGGGAGTCAGCACGAGCATTGCAAGAGAAGAGCCTTCCGTAACATGGACAACGGTTGTCTTGAACTTCAAAGCGGGCCTCTCTGATGAGTGCTCGACTGTTTGGACATCAAAGGCTTGGTCTTCGAGCAGGCGAAGCCATTTCCAGCTCCACTGGATCCCCACTGGCTTTGTCACGACCAGGAATTCACTAATGCATCGACCCACGAAATCATCCTCCGATAATTGCATGACAGTTGGCATTTTATTACCGACCTGAGCAATCTTTAGGTCCAAGTCGACCATGATATGGTAGGGGAAGAGGCTCCTTGTAACTCGCCCCGACAAGCCAATGGCACTGTCAGATACCGGTTCTGACGATAGTTCCTCTTCGATGGATAGTGGTGCGGTCACGGACGTGTTCTCCAGGCTGGGAGCCTTCTTCACGACGGGATCACCTTCTTCGATTTCCTTGGAATCAAAAAACATGTCCTCATTACTGGGCTGTTCACTTGTGGGCAAGCTAGAAGGCTGGTTGCTGCTAAACTTGGCTCGCTTGCGTGGTCGCCTGATATCTGCTTCATTGACTTCGATGACTGATGGGACGCTGGCCGTGTTGATTGTTTGAGATAGTCTTCGGTTTGCAGATTGCGAGGGTGCCGTGGTCATGCCAGTGAAAGGGCATTTCATTTGTTTCGCCTGATAGGTGGCATTCATCTGCTTGCACTCTGCTCTCATGGTGAGCTTCCAAAGGTTGTCGGGATCTACCGTCGATATCTTCCAGCTAAAAGGGAAAGGCATGATAGAAACATGATGAGCTGTTGATGATGGGCAATTGGGGAACATCACACGAGACCTCCAGTTGCATCTGCATACCTTGTTTGTTCTGCTCCTTCTTCTCCTTGTGTCCTTAGCCGTTCCATCTTGATTTCATATCCAAATTGGTCGGAGGCAACCTGACATACGACACCTTTAGCTACCGGAGCCAGGAGGCTGCCGCGTTTCGAGTGATAGTGCAATATAATAGCACCGTCGCCTGATTCGTCATCTTCGACCCAGAACTGGGGCATAGTCATCTTGTTGGGGAACGTATCCTGCAAATGCTGATGCATGGCATTGATGTTCGCCATGAAATCTTTCAGATTGCTGCCTTGGCACCTCAGCAGATTGTCGTAGCCTTCGTCTCGGACGTATTCGACAAAAAAGGCGCCAAATGTCTCCAGGATGGCTTCCGCCGACAACCCCGAAACCTCCACTGCCGCCATGACCAGATCCACCGTAGTCTGATCGGGATAGGGGTCAAGCTTGTAGAACCCTCCGTCTTCGACCTTACAGCCCGCTTTTTCTTTGATGGAGTGCCATGCGTCCAAATCGAACTTGGCGAGGACAAGCTTCTCCACGCAATCGTTGATCCAACCGAGCATCCTTTATCAAATAATATGCAGTAGTATCCGTGTTGCGTCCTCTTTCACTGTTTTGTTGGTCTTTGTGTGGCGGCGCGCTGTTGAATGAATCAAATCGAATGTACCTTGTGGGCCCAGCTGACGTGAAGTTAATGTGAAGTGATGAGATGAGACGAAATGTTGGAAGGAAACCTTTCGTGGAAGTTGATGCACCCGGGAACACCAACTAAAGGCGACGGCGATAACTTCGTCTGCGATATTATTGTCAGTGAAAGAGAAGAGCAACGAGGTCAGGTTTTTACCCTCATGCAAGCGTCCAATGGACAAATGAAAAGTGGGTTGCTGCGTTGCTGTTGATGGTTCTCGCCACCAAGCCATCAGAGATCAGAGACTCGACTCTCACGGGATGCTGAAATGACATTTTGCAATGTCATTGTGAGTCATTGTGTCACTGGTGATAAAAATGCTCACTCAAG